GCATAACTCAACCAGGAAGACTGTTCAGTGTGCATCTGGGATGCGACTCGCAGAAAAAGACGATGTTGACAACGTACTGAGCTTGATTTCTTATTTGCACAATTTTTCATGTCTTATCTCGCGCCTAGTTTGCAATTCTGTTTTCTTTGTTTTGCTTTGCTGTGTCTTTTTCTTTGTTCGCCTTGTTTTTTTCCCATTTGCTTCAGGCGTGCAGTGGATAGGACGTTTTTAATGTCTGTTTCTGAGCTAGAACTACACTGGAGCTCGCGATGTAAAAGTGCTCCACACAAAAAAATAACCACCATATCATCGTTCCAGCTTCCATCACAAGGACTAAAACGTTGCTTTGCTCGTCTGTATACCGCATCATCGGATCCCAAGGTCCCCTTTAGGTGCAGCTTGACATGCATGCCACACAGAGATCGCCTCAAGCATGTACTTCGAAGATTCAGAGACTNNGCCTTCAGGAAGTTTGAATACGAGCACGTTCCCAGCAAGGTGGAGAATGCAGCTACACTGCTCGTTGCACAGCCTCAGTTTCAGAGATTTGTGCAAGCGTTTGTGATGCAAGCATTTGTTTGCCAGTCACTTCAAATGTTGTTTTTTTCATTTTCTTTGCCGCTGAAGATTTATTTTTTGTGTTTTTTCTTTTGCTTTCATTGTCTTGTTCTTTTTCTTCTTGACTTTTTTCTCGTTTGTTTTCCCTTCTTTGCCTCAATTGGTCCTTTCTTAATCTGATCTGTGCATCTCGTCTCACTTGTCTCACTTTTCCCAATTTGCCTTTATTTTATTTCTTGTTCAATTTGCCTATTTCTGATTTGCGATTGCTTTTCATCTCGCCTTGTGTATGCGTTAGAGGTCATTCGGGGTCGAAAAAAAGAGCAGCCCCAATGACCAGTGGCCAGCTGGAGCACTAAGACAAGCTTCAGCCCAAAGGACTTGAGATCGTGGTACTCTTCCATTGTTCAGTCGGAGGAAGAATGTGCTTGCGACCTTTTCCTTGTGAGCTACTGGTCATGCCATTTGTGGAGCGATTTCGCCATAGACACGTGCTCCGTGAGCCATCCTGCTGGATGCCCAGCTCCGCCACCAACGCGTAAAGTGCATGCGTGCAGTGGATGCAAAAGTTCCATGCATATGGATATTTTGCAGATATTTTGGTTTCAGTCTTCCGTGAGTTTATGATTTATGATATTCAGGATGGGTAGTGTGTTTGTGCTTTGGTTGTTTGAATTCGATCTGATACTGCAAAGCAACTTTGTGAATGGTTCACAACCCCTCCGTATGTCATGTAAGATGTAAGTTCCAGTCAGCCTGGAATAAGAAACAAGATTTGGATGTTTTAAATGCACAGTCTGTGTGATTTTTTGTTTGGAGATCGCTGTTGGACAGTCGGAGCCTGGCTTGCGAAAGTCCTGTTTTCGCATCGTTTGTCCAACAGCACTTTAAGAAATATCCAAAGCTTAGTGTGGCCATTCCTGGCTTCAGTGCTCGGAGTTTTGGACTTGGGCACCAACTTGCAAAGGGTTTCAATCTTGCCGCAATCGGCTGCAAAGTGCTTGGACTCTCCAGGCCTTGTTGTGTGATGTGTATTCCTTACATCATCATTGTCAGTAAAGAAATGCTGGAAGATGTTGACAGAGAAGAGACTGTCCTCTTGCACCGTATTCGCGGTCTTTCTCTTCATCTAAGGCAGAGTACAGAACCGAATGTACGATGTACCGGTATCCACAGTGTAGCACAGATGCATGCAAGAGTGTTCCGACGAAGTCATGCAAATGGATTCGAGTGCACTCCCATTCTTCATGTTCAGCTTGTGGCAGTCTTCGCGATACCCGAACTCTGCACGCAAACTCCATCCTAAACCCAAAATCCTAAACCTCAAGACCATCCCAAAGATACCATCTGATGCTGCGAGCATGCAGGACGGCCCGAAGTGGAGCAACAAGCCTGGACTGGGTTCGAGCAAGAAGTGAAGGAAGCTAGTACTTTAGGTTTTCGTGTCGCATGCGTATTTGTTTCTTCATGTGATAGTGTTCTTCGAATTGCAAGTCTTAGTCTTATTGAAAATTTCATCAATGTTACACAACAATCAACACGTAACGCATCAACGGTTGAACCCAGCCAGCCTACTTAGCTCAAGAGGCTCAGGACACGTGGCTGAAGACAAGCAGGTAGAGTCATTTTCCCCAAACCCTAAACCCAAACTCCGAAGCCCTGAACTCCAAACGCAATGCTTTAAACACTAAGCCCTGAGCTCCCAACCCAAAGCCCTATATTCGAAGCAAGCATCCCTGCCAGGCCATGCGCAACGTGACGTCGGAGCTGGGCGCCGCCGAGGCTGCTCAGACGCTCGGCATCTTCCATTAGCGGCAGGATAAGAACCATACCAGGACTGGCCGTAACCATGTTGCGAATGTGATAGTGATAAGTATCATGATCGTATATTGGGTAATGAAAGTGCAAGTAGAATGATAGTGTACATGATAATGCAAGTGAACATTTTAGATCATGTAAACATGATGTAAATCACAATGCAAATCATGATGTACTTGATAATGTACATGACAATGTAAATCATAATGATGATAATGCAAATGATGATGTAACTGATCGTGTACATGATATTGTAAATGATATTGATAACGGAGAATACTGTCATAGTGTTAGCCATGACACGAATGATATTTGACAACGGTAGTCAGACCAGTAGTGATAGTTGTGGTAATGTTGGTCGAAAGAAGAGTACAGTAGTAGTGACAGTGTTAAGCATAGTAACATTAATACTCGTAGTCATGTTAGTGAATGATTCACTATCGCCTTGGGCCCGTGACCCCTTTGTCACAGTCTTCGAAATCGACATATGTAATAGCGCAGGACTGGATGTTTGCATAGACTAGTATTAGTATAGGGTGTGACAGCATAGGACCCGACAGTACATTAATTTGTTTGTATTGCAAGAGAAGATCGCATGCTACATTGCAGTTTTTCATCAGGTTCGGGCTTAGGTAGCCGTCCGGTTCGGGCATAACTAGATGCGGGCACTGTGGGCTTCACTTGAGTTGGGAGCAGCGTACTCATTAGGAAGCGAGACGCAGAAACAAATTCGTACACAGATCAACTAGCCTCAGATGAGTAGCTCTGGAATCCACAAAAGCGCGACTCTGAATGCGACCCTAGTTTCGAGAGGACGCTTTTAGTGCTTGAAAGGATCCAGGCTTCCTTGTGTCTCGTCTGCAAGCCCCCGAATGCTTGGCTCCGAGGGCGGCGTCGCAGAAGCAACTGGAGGCCTGAGCCGAGGAAGTTCACAGAATTTCAGCGCTGGGTTCAGCGTTCCATTCTGTGCATTGTTGTTTGGGTCCCGGATTCAGTCGCTGGGGGAGATTTCTTCTTCCATGCTTCGATGCCGACGTCTCCCGATTGAATGCTCGAGAGGTATTTGCCACAGTGATATTGCTCGCCCACAAAACTTCTTTGTACTTCTTGATTAAATGTTGTTAAGCAAGAATTCAAACCAACATGATAATGGCAATGTGGCGGGTGTGCGATCGTTTAATCCGGATAGAGTACGGACAGAAGAGTGACCATAACACGTGGTCATCTTAGCCCGTGACAACCGGGGAACCGACGGCATGCTTCTTCTTTGCAGGAGTCATCTTTGCGCTTGAAGTCGCTTGTGCAGCAGCGAGATGCAATTCTTGCTCCAGTCCTTGCTGCCGAACAGCAGGCGCACCCCTAAACCCTAAACCCTAAACCCTAAACCCAGAGGGTGTCTTGGGGTTTGTTGGGCTTCGGCGGATTCTTCCAGGTTTCGGCTTGTCACAGCCTCGGGTCAAAGCGCTTCAGCCACTATGTCGAAAGGATCCCTGCCTGCTTAGACTCACCTTGGTTTCACTGTGCAAGAGCCTACAGGACTATAGGACATGATTGCCGGTCGGAATCGTGGTGCCATATGAATATGCAGGATTTCTGTTCATCGGGCAATGCATCGTCTCAGAATGGTCTGCTAAGACCTACGTCCTAAACCTTCCAAAACCCATAAATCTTGATCAAAGCCTAAAGCCCAGTAGCAACCTTAAAAACCTGAACCCTTACCTTAAATAAACCCTTACGTGAGACTCTAAACTATCTGCGTTTCAGCTTGGCTGGCCCGGCGGCATATTTCCAGAGAGATCCGGAGGGTCACTCCATGAGAGTCAGCGTCTTTTGCGGCTTAGGATTCAGAGGTTTAGGGCTGTAGTGTTTCCGGTTTAGGGTTATTTGGTTTGAGGCTTATGGTTTCCGGTTCGACACGATTTGTCCTGAAGCCATGCCTTCGCATTTTTCATACTGCTTCCTCAACCATCACACCATGGAGGTTGTCCTTTGCCGTTTCGGCGAACCCTCGAAAGCCCAAGTGTCGAATTGGTGCTCTTTATGTCATTAGATTTGCTTTGATCGTACATAGTATAAAGGTTGGTTGTAGTGATGCTAAGAGACAGAGTAGCGCCTCTCTCCACGCAGGCCTTGGAGGGCAAGGCGCAGCTGCAACGTTTTTTCCTTGGACATTGGACAAGCGCACTGCATCCCGGAAAGCCCTGAATCCAGACACCGCCAATCGTTGCAAGTCACATGGGATCGGGGGCTTGGATTTCAGGGTGCGCGGACCCTGTGGATATCAGGAAGTACCATGGCTTTTGACGCCGTGGAGTCTCGGTGTTTTCTGTGGTGTTGTGGTATGCAATCGCCATGTGCAGCTTTATGTTTCGTTCATTCACTCACACAGAAGCAGTTCTCTGAAGGTTCCAAGGACTGCAGTTGTCCAAGTTTGCATGGGGCAACACCGAAATTGAGAACAACAGCAAGACTTGCTTGAAACCTAAGTTTGGGTTTGCGTGTCCAGATTTCGTCAGCAGGTTTGTGGCTTCTTGCTGGGATCTCTTAATCTTTTGTTGTTTCACCCGGAGGCGAAAATGCTCCGCCTTTGGAGAGTGTCTGGGGAAGAGATCGGTGCGATTCCCATGGATGAAGTGAAGGAGTTGAGAGATGTGAGGACCTTGAAGCGCCACTTGCGCCAGCTTTATGGCTTTCCAGCTTGCATTCAACAGCTCGTGCGCGAGGGCAGCAGGATGAATGACGATGCAACGTTGGAAGAGCCCTTTGACGTGCAGGTCGTGCTGTTGCCCGCCTCCAACGCATCTGGGGTTCAAGAGGAGTTTCTGGAAGCTGCCGGAGAGGGCCACGTTGAGGTTGTGCGGATGCTGTTGGAAGCTGGTGCTGACAAGGACTTGGAAGACATTGACAGCAAAACAGCACTTATACACGCATCTGACAAGGGCCACGGCCAGGTCGTGCGTTTGCTGTTGGCAGCTGGTGCTCGGGACTCGGCAGACGGGTTCGGCTACACAGCTCTTTTTCGTGCAGCTTGGGGTGGTCATGTTGAGGTTGTGCGTTTGCTGTTGGAAGCTGGTGCCAACAAGGACTTGACAGGGGATCACGGCGACACAGCTCTTTCGAATGCATCTTGGTTTGGCCATGCAGAGGTTGTGCGAGTGCTGTTGGAAGTTGGTGCTAACACGGACCTGACAGACAGTTTCGGCTATTCAGCTCTTATTCGTGCATCTGAAAAAGGCCACGTCGAGACTGTGCGTTTGCTGTTGGAAGCTGGTGCGGCCACGGACGCGAGACACAAGGACGGCAAGACTGCTCTTATTTTTGCATCTCTCAATGGCCACGTCGAGGTTTCGCGCCTGCTGCTTAAAGCCGGTGCTGACAAAACCTTTGCGGACGTTCTCGGCTACACAGCTCTTGATTACGCATCTGCCCGCGGTCGCCAGGAGTTGGTGCGCTTGCTGGCTTGAGGTCACGAAATGGATAAGCATGGGAATTGCGGCCAGTCTCGCAGCTCGCTTTTGTACAGTTTGGCCGCCTAGTCTCTAGATTTGGCCTCTTTATAAAGAGGCCTCCCTTTCTCGGGTTTCTTTGCGGGTTGTGTTGGCAGCTTTCCTCATGCTCTTCTCCGGAGTTTGCATCCGCTTCCAGGCCATCCTCCCACGGTCGTGCTGCTTTCGCTAGTGTTCAAGATTCTTTGGGTGGTCCAGCTCCAGATTCAATCTGAGCCACCTTAAAGCCCAAACCAAAACAAGCCAATCCCGAAGACCGCCTACAAGACAATCCTGAATCCTAGACCCGGAATCCCGGAACCCCGCAGCACTTTAGCCTAAGCCGGGAAGGCTAGAAAAGCTCCGACCCCCAGCTTTCCACTGGAACTTTGACAGCATCCTTGTCACTTTTATAGAACTCCGAAGCCCCTACTAAACCCTAAGCCCTAAACCCTAAACCCTACACCCTAAACCCTAAACCCTACACCCTAAACCCTACAACAGGACCCTCATCTTGCCTGTGCCAGGAGGTGCGATCCGAGTTCAGGCTTTCCACGGTTGATTGCTTGGAGCCGATCACCTTCGCTGCTTGGGTCGTATTTTTAGGGCTTTGGGGTTTACGATTTAGGGTTTAGGGTTTAGGGGCTTGGGTCGCATCTTCAAGGCTGCTTTGGTCCGAGGGTTTAGGATCAGAACTTCGGTTCTGAGGGTCTTTTGGGTCTAGGGTTTGAAGAAGCGGAAGCAAGATGGGCAGCAAAAGCCCGGGGGAGAAAGCCGTGTCTGCCTGACGACTTTCTGAGAAGCATGCCACGAAAGACTCCGGGGTCTTGTTTAACTGTGTTTGGCAGATGAGCTTCCGCAGATGCCGTATGAGGGCTCCATCCTTCTGCAACTTCACAGCAGAAGACCTGCAGGCATAAATTACATTTTGCGCCAGTAAAGCAGAGTGGGTTTACATTCAGCGTCCGCCTTGCAACAAGATCGAGATCTACAATAGTTTATATATATATATACATATACATATACGTACATACATCCATCCATCCATCCATCCATCCATCCATGCATGCATGCATGCATGCATGCATGCATGCATGCATGCATGCATACATATATACGTACATATTTACATACATACATATATACGTATGTACACACACACATATACATATATATATATACATAATATATAAGTACGTAAATAAATACGTACATGAATAGCTATATAAATATGTACATATGTATATATGTATACATACATATATATATATAGATGTATATACTACACACACACACACACGCACGCACAATCAGTTATTCATACGGCCTGTGCCTGTGGCTTCTTGGCAAAGCTCAGGGGGGCGAGGAGAGGATCCGAGAGCTCCACCAGCTCCTGGCTGAGAGCCCTGGCAGAAGTAGGTGGTGGCGACATCTCGAAGCTCCGGTGAGAGTTTTTATTAGTACTATTAGTATTATTAATATTATTATTATTATTAGTATTCACATTAGTATAAAAATAGTATTAGTAATAGAATCAGTTTTTGAGATCTGCTGAAGACTATGTTTCCTTCGTTCTAGGACCGTAGCGGATGGTTAGAGATGGGTGTTCGTGAAAGCTTGAGCCCTTTCGAAGCTGAGGAAACAGCGCGTGCAGAAGGACTCCGCCCTGACTTTGCTGGAAAGCTTTGTTTCAGTGCGCAATGTTTAGGCAGAGCCCTTGGTGCGGATCAAGCGGAACATGGCATCCACTCCCGTCCAAAAATATTTACAGCTCCTTATAAGGTCTCACCCCCGGACCGCGGACATGCGGCACTGCTAGCATCTGCGACATGCTACTTTCTCAGGCAATTCCTCCCCTGAGCTTATTCAACCGCTAGAGCCTCCTGCCCGTGAAGTTTGCAAGGACTTGCAGAAGCGGGCGTGTCACGGAGAGTCGCATGCGAAGAGAGCTACGGCAAAGTTACTTGGTCTGGCCGGTCATCTCTGATTTTTGTCGGGGGATCCTCAAAGAATTCTGCCGCTTCCACGGGTGCGCATCTTTGAAAAAGGCATCCTTCCAGTGCTGTTCCGGCAAGATGTTCTCTGAGTCAGAATCGCAGGGGGCCATGATTGCTTTTCCCTGAAGCTGCCAGCAGCAAAGCTGGCCTTTGCTTCCAGGCATGCTTGTGGATTGGGTGCGCAGGTAGAGGGTTTTTGGCTACTCCGAGATTGAGGGATGACAGCTGTCGGGCCATCCTGAGCCCTCAAGACCATAAGCCCATGGGGGCCCGGAAGGAGTCCCTAAATCCGAGAAGCCCCGCATTTTTTTTTCCTTAAGGGGCCCCGGCCCCGGCATCTTCTGAGGCTCTACGAGTGCTGCGTGTTGCGGCGGAGGCTGGCCAAGGAGCTGCGCCGATTCCACCAAAGCGGAATGCTCGAAGAGGACAGGCGCAGCATCCTCCTCGAGGGCCAGGCCGGACTGAGGGCCTTCTTGGGCCTTCTTGGAAGAAAGCGGCTTAAGTACCTTTTAGACCATCCACATACATGTATAGACACAAAAGTAGAACGTTACATATACAAGTAAAGATATCTGCACGCATATATGTATATATATATATGTATATATATATATATGTGTGTGTACGTGTGAATGTATACAGTATACAGTATCTATACATATGTATGTGTGTGTATAAACAAATAAATAAATAAATACACAAATATATAAATAAATATATATATATATATACGTATGTATATATGAATACTTTTACAAACGTACGTACATACTATAATGATAACTACCAGTGGTAGTGTTCAGCATCAGCCGCATGCGTAAAGAGGTTTATCGTCAATTGGATTGGCAGTTACAGATGATGATTCATCCGACATGAAGTCCATGTTTAATCCGGCCGCCATTGTTTTGACTTATGCCAGAGCCGTTGTTTAGTCGTTCATGCTCCATTCTGATCTGGTATGCTGTGGTCAACATGTTGAAGACCTTTGCTCTACAGCCTCATGTCAACACACCGGCTGGAAGTTACAGACTGTTTGTGTGACTCTAACCTGGTGACTTCCCGCGGATGCAGGAATGGGTCTGGCTCGGTTTGCAGCTCCAAGCTATATGCTTTTCGCCCTAGACCCCAAAAACCAGGATTCCGAAGTCCACGGTAGTCCACGGTCGCTATGCTACGGACGGTTTATGCATCAGCCTCGCATTAGGAGCTCGAAGACCGCTTCCAGAAGATGCGAGATGCCGCATGACCCGGGAATAGGTAGTAGTGGCCGGGGAAGCTTAAACACAGTCATGGTGGCCAAGATGGGTTTCAGCATCCTTCAGTTCACGGAGTGATCTGAACAGTGACGATGGCTGTCCATGGTTTTCGCGTTGGCCCTAAACCCTAAACTCCCTAAACCCCAAACCGAGGCTGTTGGCGACCAGCTGGCTCCCCTGTCCGGGCGTATTCAGGAAGCAGAAGCAGCACACTCTGCCGAGGACATTCGTTTTTTGCTCTCCTTGCAGCTGCTGTTGGTTGCAGGCATTGTGGCTAGTCTATACATGATTACGGCTGCTGCTACTGAAATGACGGTTTTTGGTAGTTTCACCATTGCTACTACTGCTACTGTCGTTACGATCATTACTGTATCATAACCTCATGTAGTCCAACCTTTGCTGTTGCTTACCTTTCAACATTTTTTCGGACACCATCCTGTTGTTCTCGTACGAATAGACTAGTGTTCAAAATGCAGTACTGCCTTAACTTTTGTTCACTCATTATGCTCAGTACTGGTAATTATCAAGCTCACTTGCTAGAACTGCATCATCACCCATGTCATTGCCATCAGCACTTCTCGACTATTATTTCTCCCTGTCAGAGAATTGTTCTGCGCGGTGGTTCTGATCGTCATTAGTATTGTCCCTGACTACTGTCGATCTCACGAAGCACATGCTTGCCTTTGCCGCCCTACACAAACGAACTGTTAGTTGGCACTTCACAGGCCGTTCTGCACTTGGTAACTTCTGTTTTCCTTGAATCCCGGGATGGTTGACTGGACCGGGAAAACAGATTCCATAGCCGCTGCTCTTCATTCAAGCAGGGCTAACCAAATTTTCAATCCCAAACTCTACAAGCCAAACCCAGGCCCAGACCCACATAGCGGAACCTGGGAAACTCAAAGCCGAAGCTCCGAAGCCTCAGCTTATAGAACAGACTTGTGGCCTCCTTTTTTTTGACTAGGCTGTAATATATGCCCCCTGAGCTACTTCTAGGTTTTGATATCCCTTAAACCTGCCAGAACCATGGCACTGTAAGATACCCCACGCTCCACCACAGACCCAACTCTGATATTATTCGCAGCCCTAAACCCTACCTGTAGCCGAAAAGACCTACCTTTTTTCAGGAACCGTTTTTAGAAACCCTAATAAGGAACCTTAAAAGTGTAGGCCTTTTCGGTACTCCAGGAGGCCCGCAATGAGCTCAAGGCAGCTGAAGTGGCGCGGCTGCGCATGGAGCTGATGGTGGCGACAGACAGCGGTACCTGGCCTCTTATCGTCTTAGCAACTTCTTTCTCAAAATGTTCGCAAAACTACACAGAAACCGAGTGTTGACGGCCGCTAGGCCGCTAGGATCGCACCTCGTCCTTTTTTCTGCGCTGTGTTTTGAAAAGGGACCATGCATGCCCGCCCTCAGCAGGTGTGCATGTGCGCTTACTCCGGAGGGCGCAGCTTCCCGAGTCCAGGCCCATGCACGGGATTTGCAAGAATTGAGCATGCGAGGGCGGGTTTCGAGAGGGGCCGTGTTCGAATCAGATGGTTGTCGAGAAACATGTGTGACATCCACAGCATATGATGCCTGCAGAACGAACTGCCGTGCGGTCCAGCTGGCAACCCGCATCTCGATGGACTGGTGCACCTTGGCTGTGGGAGTGCCGAACCTCAGTGACGTAACCGAAGGAAACACACCCCATGCACGGTTATTCAGGGCTTCTAGTTTCTTCGG